AATTAAAATTAAATTTTTGTTAATATTTAATTCTTTAATAAATAAATTTATTATCGATTATAACTAAAAAGCTAGCTATGATGATGTTAATATTAGGTCGATTGCGTCAAAATTACCTATATACTCAGCAAATATGCTGACGTTATTTTTCATCATTTTGACGTCAGAATAACAATTAACGCTAGCTTGTTGGATAAGTTATTAAAAATTCGCCAAATATTTTTTGAATGTATTATTCAAACTTAAAGAGCTTCCAAATCGCTGAAACTAATCTGATAATTACGAACATAATTACGAACTTGACAACATATTTAATTTTGACACAATTACTTGACATATGTAATTATTAACGTGATTTAAAAAATGAACATGCTTAATTTTCCATCTGCAATTTAGATTAAATCTAAAAATATGATTGCAGCCGTAGAATTAATTTTGTGACTATTATAATAAAACTTCTTCAAACAAACATGGTCATATATATTAAGATAGATTTATTTTCGTAATTTATTTCGTAATTTTAACTACACACAAATTTCGTTCTTGTGCAATTTTTTTTCCTTAAATAGATTAATTAATTAAAAAATATTCGAATAAAGTACTCTATATAGTCTAATAGATTTACTACAATGAATCTATAATCCTGTTATTACAGAACTCAATATTTTTCGAAAACAATCTACAATTTCTCGATGAATCAACAACTTTTCCTTCTAAAGCTTTTCGGATCAATTCGTTCTTTTCGGAAGCCAGCTGACTTTGAAATGATGATCTCAATCTCTGTCCGAAATCTTACATCTGCCGACTACTTTCCTTTGTTGAGTCATAGTATAAAGAATGAATAAGAATTACAAGTTAAAATGATATCAGAGAATGATCTAATCCCAATAATCTTATAAGATGAAAATCCTGCCGGCAAAAGAAAGAGATGAACAAGAGACAAGTGAGATAAAGACTGGAGCGAAATAAAGAGAAAGGGATGAATGTAGACTGCATAGAGTGAACGGCGTGGAATGAAGGGAATGTTTCGCGTATCAAGTTGTGCCTTTATACACGAAACATTCCTTTCGAAAGAAAAAGAGCGTCATACATGCGCCAGTGACGCAGTCGGTGCGTGCGTGTACGTTTCATGAATTATTCATATCCTCTTCACTCACTCTTTATCCCTAAGCGGAAGAGAAAGAAATAAAAAGAAGAAAAGAGAGAGAGAGAAAAATTTCCCGGGATACAAAAACAGAGTGAATGATAATAAGAGAGAGAGAGAGAGAGAGAGAGAGAGAGAGAGAGAGAAAGAAAGAAAGAGAGAGAGAAATAGAAGCCGATTGGGAGTGATAGAGAAATCAATCTTTCTTGGAAATTGATGAAGTTATCGACGTTGATAATGAATAAAAACGGAACAATTATTCTTATCTATTCTACTATCAGTATTTTTCTGCCATGGCACATCGTTTCCCCCAGTCAAATAATTCAAGGTGTCAATGTACCGCTGATAAGACGTATGTTGCTATTTCTCTCCTTGACTCGCTATGGTAATCCCTCACTGAAAACG